AATCTGAAAATGTGATTAGGCCATTTTGACCAAATTAGGATTCAGACCAAATATTAATGTATTATCGTAACCAATAAGACTAATTAAGGCATATCTCTGGTTCTGTTTATATCAGAATGATCCAGGTAACAAAATGTAGCTTTTAAAGCCAGGAATCTGAAAATGTGATTAGGCCATTTTGACCAAAATTGACTTAATCCTCATTTCGATGTGATAGGTCACATATAAATAAACTTGAACTTGAATAAACTTGAACTTATCTAGCCTTTATATATATCTATGGTGTTTACAATCTACAGGAAAGTGATGCTAGGCTAACTGCGTAGTAGCGGTTATTATTTGCTCACTCAGACACAGTAACAGCTGCAAACAGTCAGAAAGTAGCTGACCTGAGAAAATGGGTAGCGTGAGTTCTGGGTACGTCCTGGCCAGCTCCTCAGACAGCTGGTAGTAAGATACAGAGTACAAGTGTGGAAGKGGTGAGGGAGGGGTCAGGATGCCATCTGTTCTCTGGATCTCCAGTTTGTGGGCATAACGGAAGAGCTTTGGCTCCAGGATCTGTTCCGTGAATAACAATCACAACATGCTGAGGTTAAACCATGTCTAGGCTACAGCACCGGGTTCTACAGGAACTAACAGACTGACCTGTAAGAGCTGCATGGCTGTCTCGTAGATATCCCTGGAAGAGTCAGCTGCCTTGAACAAAATCAGGTTCAGCAGCACCACAGTGTCAAACTGATAATCCCTAAAAGAAAATGTCCAACAAGCTGCTGTTAAATGACAAGTTTCTGACTGCAACAGAGTCAACAGTCACATTAAAGTATCAATCTAAGCCTGCAGACGTGTCGCACCTGTTGTGAAAGACGTTAGCGATGGCTTTAAAGCAGCCTGCGGCCACACGATGTGAGCCGGTGTAACAACGATCCACGGCCCACAGCATCAGATTGCTCTGATCTGGATTCAGCTCCAGCAGCAGCATCACAGCCTCACAGCCCAGCTGGTGAACCTGCAGGTGACCACACACAAACAAGTCAACTACAACTAATCTGAAAGGAGCATAAAAATCTGATTGGTTGCATTTGTCCAGCTGTCTGGTTTGACAAGTTTAAACCATTCAACAATATAAAAACAACAAAGCTTAAATAAAAAAGCATTTCTCCTGCAGCTTTAAACACAATCTGTTAATCTGATCAGACCATGTGTTGTGAATAACTCTCAGCTACTACCACTCTAACCTTAGCTCAACATGGAATCATGTTAAACTGACTGAGGTAGACCCTGGTTGTGTTTGTTGAGGCTAACTGTGGTGGTCTTCCTGAACTGCACTGACTTCAGGAGTCAGTTGTAGATGAACATATGGTTACTTTGACAGTTTTCTAACATTTGTGGTTCAGACAATAATTTGCTAACAGACAAATGTGGTGGATGCCAAAAAACATTATCACCTGTTTCTAAAAATGGAAGATGGTTTAATTATTAATGCAGAAACCAGTAGAAAGTTTGTTAAAAGCTGTCTGAAAACAGTGTCCCACTCACCTTCTTGTCTTGAGAATCCAGAATGTTATCGAGCCACTTGTAGAGGTAGCCATCAGAGGACAGACCAACATTGTCAGCCACAGGACCACAGCACAGCACTGCTGACATAGCCTACACAAGAAAACAATTAGCTACCAGTTGCAGCTGACACAAAAACATGTGTTTACATTCCATACCTTCAGCGCACAGTACTGATGGCGATTGATCTGCATATTTCTGTCACTGTAGCGATCCAGAGGAGTGAACATGATGCTGAAGGGACCAGCCCAGTGACTAAACAGCATGAAGAGACTGTGACGCAGAGACTGCTGAGGGAAGATGTTCCTCCTGTCGTTTACTGAACACAAACACAATGAGACAAAACACATATGCTCGTTTAAACTTATACAATCAGCTTAATGAGATCAGTTAGTCGTGAAGTTCCTCAGGGTTCAGTGCTTGGAACAATCCTCTTTACTTTATATATGCTTCCATTAGGTAAAGTTATCAAACAGCATGGGATACATT